TCGTACCAGGGGAAGGCTACTATTTCCACCCCCCCCGCGGACGGACCCAGCAGTTGGAGACAGAGCCCAGTGGGGAGGCCATTTGAATTTCCCGGGCTCTTACGTTCCGCCGCTGGGCCCATCAACGCTGCTCACTTTCCAGGCGGTGGTGGAAGTGCGGGAGGCCTGCCGGAGGCCTCTCAGCAACAGCTATAGAAGTCCACGAGGTTGAAGAGGCTTTGGACTGGTAAAATGCTGCTTTTTCCTTTTTAAAAACTCTTCTGGGTGGGGTTTGGACTGGGGGTTATTTTTCTGTGCTTTTCTGTTTTGTTTTTGGATTTGTGGTGTTTTTTTTTCTCAGTCCCAGCATGGGACTTGCTCTGTTTATTTTTATTTTATTCATTTTGTGTATTTTTTTGAAATGCTAGAACGGATTAATCCTGTTCCCATGCATTTCAATGGGAAATGGTGCTTAATGCATAACATACTACAGTACTGCATAACAAGTACCCCCACGCACAGACGCCCCCATTCACAGACGCTGGTGGCGGTAGCCCACCGCCCCCCCACCCTACTGGTCCTTGGAAGAATGGTCTTCAAGAAAACCGGTCCCTAGTATTAAAAAGGTTGGGGACCACTGGGTTAAGGTATAGGCCTAGGAGATCTAAGAAAAGATTCATTGAAATGTGGAAATTATAAAAGTTCTAATGGACAGGAATGGCTGATGAATAGATACTCACTTTAGAAAATGCAGAGTTTGAGCTTGTTTATGAAAACACTTCACTGAGCTGAACAAGTTGTAAGTAAGACTGTTATTGAGGTATGAATGTAATGTATTGAGAGGATTGTAATGCTTTCCCTTGATCTTAGCGGAATACAGTTTATCAGAGAACACAGGATCCATGATCTGAAATTTTGGAAGTGAAGCACCTCTGCTGCTTGAACTGCCCCTTTAAGAGAACATCCTAACTGTGTGAAATGAGTAGCTTATACCTTAATGCTGATGGGAGAAGAACATGGATCCTTCTCCTTTTCAGAAGTATACTTTCCTCCATTTCCTGCATTTTCATAAAACCTGTTTTAAAATCACTGTACGTCTCAGGAAATTAATGAAACCAAGTATGAATTTCAGTTCAATTCGATGAATTTCAATGATCAATCATTTTTGCTTGTTATGCACCTGCATATCAATCAAACATCTTTTGTCACAGACTTTTGACATGTTGTTTTAAATACGTAGACACAACTTGTTAATTTAAAGAGTTGCATTTTTCTATTATAATTTGCTTCCAATTAATTAAATGCCTTTAAAATCAACTTAAAATAACTGTAAACTTCACATTAGTGTAGATGTCAATAAGTAAATTTTGAACAGCAAATGTCAGCCTCTGTGAGCCGTACTCTACCTGATTCAGCAGAGAAACATTAGCAGGACAGGATTGTGACATTTTGTGCAAACCACAGAAGCATTTCAGTCTATTTATTTGAATTGCTATCAACATGGTTACAGGTAGGTAACCTCTCTTTTCCATATTGTCTCAGAAAATTCCAAGAATCCTGTATTTTCTTGAAAGAAATTCAGTGAGTTAGAGTGACCCAATAGCTATCCATGGTTCTTTCATACATAGATGGTGTCTGCACTTAATATCTGGAACTTGCAGGCATGAGACAGAACATCTCAGCTGGTGCTCTTGCCTCTTTAAAGAAGGTGCCTATTAAGCCAGCCTGCATTGTCTTGGGCAAGCTTTGCCGTACCTAGAATGTCCCCAGAAGAAGGGAATGGTAAACCACTTCTGAGGACTGTTCCTGGAAAACCCCAAAAAGGGTCACCATAAGGCAGAATTGACTTGATGGCACATTGTTGTTGTTGTTGTTATTGTTGTTGTTCAGAAACCCCAGGCACGGTCAACATTATAAAAACATTGATTGGTATTATGTAACAGATACAAGTTTTAACCAAAACCCTAAGTACCTGTTAAATATCAACACAGTATGTATACTATTCCTAATATTGCCACTTTTCGTAGCTCTGATTATGTAATTTCTGAGATCTGCAACTGCTTATAGTACTGTGTGAAGTTTCTTGATATTGTTCCCAAAGCCCCAATGACTATCGAGACCACTGAAGTGTGTGTGCTTCTTCCAGAGGCAAGATATTTCAATTTGCAGGTCTCTGTACTGTATTAGTTTTTCCAATTCTTTATTTTCAACTCTAGCATTATTATTATTATTATTATTATTATTATTATTATTATTATGGCAAGGCACTTGTGACATCACTGTAAATGGATTTCTAATCTCATTTTGTGTGTTTTACTATTTTTCAGTTTTCTGGATTGTATGTTGACTGTCAGTCTTTGGTCCAGGCACTTGATAACCTGCCACTGCATCTCAGACTGAACGTGGATGCTGAACTAGTGCAGGTAACATATAGTGGGCAGAATCCTATTTGTTTTCAAGTAATGCAAAGTTATGCCCATGTTCATTTGCCTAGCATTACATCCAGGCAGCATGGCTTGTGTGCTTCAATTGCTCAATCAGTCACACGTTTACTGTTGTAACCGTTGCACAGTGTGCCTGCGAAAGGGATAGTGAATAGCACTTCTGCCTTTGTCCTATTACACTTAACACTTGCATAATTTTGACTTACATGTAGAATTTCTGCCATAAGCTGAACAATCAAGTAAGCTGAAGCTATTTGGCTACAGGACAGATCTACTGTGACTGTGAAGAAATTCAGTGTATGCAGCACTTACGCGCATGCAATTTATGCCCCACCATGTCTATAAACGAAGATTGAGCAAATGGCCAAGATAACACTATTGAAGTAGCTTGCTTCTGGTCCAAAATAGTCTGATTATTTTAACATTTTAATTTGTTTTTTATTATATCTATATTTCATATTCATCCATAAATTTAACTTGTGCAATATTCTGATACAAATAAAGAAAAGTCATACACTGCTTAAAAATATATTGGGCATCACTTTAAATGTAAGTAGCCACACATATGTTTAATACAATTGGCATGTCATTTTTGTTTGTTTGTTTGTTTGTTTGTTTGTTTTTTTGTATGTTTGTTTGTTTGTTTGTTTATATCATTTTTAGGTCACCTTTCACACTGAGGGATCCAAGGTGGCTCATAATATGAAGTCACACACAAAAAACCCATAATAAATTACAAGATTTAAAAAACAATCAGATATACTATAATAATTGAAAATATGTTAATTAATCATCTGTTAATTGTTAAATAAAAGTAATTAAAATTATTTAATTAAAATGTATTAATGAGTTGTTATTGCTATCATTTGTAGGCCATCTTTCACATTGAGGGACCCAAGGTAATTCACAGTGTTAAAAGTAAGTCATATAAGAAGCACAAAAATTATAAGATTTAAAAAACAATTAAACTTACTATAATAATTGAAAAATCAATTAATAATTATATAAAAAGAATTTCAAAACATTTAAAAACACCCTTAGAAAAACAAAACAAAAAAATCCCAGCATCCAGGGACCCATAGTTTTTGAAATCCTTCCTGAATAGGTACCGTATTTTTCGCACCATAAGCCACACTTTTCCCCCACAAAACAGGGGGGTGGAAAGTCTGTGCGTCTTATGGAGTGAAGAAAACAGATTATATTTTCCTGTTTTCTTCTCCTAAAAAATTGGTGCGTCTTATGGAAAGGTGCATCTTATGGAGTCCAAGAACTTTTAGCATGGGCTTGTTCTCATGTTGTTATTCCAGATCTTCCTACCTTTCCTTTTTTCCTTAGAAGCCTTGTGGAGGAAACAAACACATTGTAAAAAAAACATGTGATATTTCTCTATTTACGTACCCATTGTCCACTATGCAGTGGATCTCGTTCTGTCTGGAAGCTTCCAAGCAAATATATAAAAAGGATGGTTTATGCCAAGGGATTAGAGCTTGAGGCAACAGCATGAAAACAGAGTGCATTCTCCAAATGAAAAAAGCAAAATGTTCAGGTAGGGAGATGGGAGCAAATGAGACTCAAAAGTTAACCATAACTATTAGCTAAGATTAACGTTTATCAAATGCTAGAAAAATCTGTCTGCATTAAAGACAGCACAACTACTAAAATCAGTTTTGCTCTCCCGTGGGTTTGCTTAAAGTGACTCAGATGCTGACATTGCTCACTTCTGGTTCTAGCTTGAAGTCATGTCTATGAATGTAGTGGAGAAGTCTGCATTTGTTTTGAAAGTGAAAAACTTCCTTACATGCAAAATGGCAAGACACGGTGTCATGCCTTTCCATACTGTGAATCATGCTAGGGCAGTGGATGGCTTTTAAAATACACGATTATGGGACATTGTATCCTGTAATGAAGTAACATTAGAAGCAGCCAAATAGAGTAGTCCTAGATCGAGCTGGAACTTTTAGCATGTATGCATTAATGAAACAGTGATGTCTACATTGGCTTGGGCACGTTGTGAGAATGGCTGATGGTCAGATTCCAAAAGATCTCCTGTATGAAAAATTAGTGCAGGGAAATCGCCCCAGAGGGAGGCCACAGCTGCGATACAAGGATATCTGCAAGCGGAATCTGAAGGCCTTAGGAATTGACCTCAACAGATGGGAACCCCTGACATCTGAGCATTCAGCTTGGAGGCAGGCGGTGCATCACGGCCTCTCCAAATTTGAAGAGACACTTGTTCAGCAGGCCAAGGCAAAGAGGCAGTCACGAAAGCAGCAAAATCAGGGAGTGGGGTACAGATTGTATTTGTCTTCAGTGTGGAAGAGATTGTCACTCTCAAATTGGCCTTCTCAGCCACACTAGACGTTGTTCCAAGTCCTCCATACAGAGCACGTTACCATAGTCTCTCGAGACTGAAGGATGCCTATGTAGAGGCAGCCAGTCCAACGAACTGCAAGCTTGGGTCTTCAAATTTGCTTTTCTTATGGCCACTGAACTGCAGTGTGGTAGTCTGACTTATCCTAAACTCATCATACTGTTTCAGTCATCAAGTCCAAATGTATACCTTTTAATGGGTGAATGCTTTTCATGTCATTGCCGTTGTTTTATTAACACATTATAGTTTAAACTCTTTGCTGAAGAAAGGCTTTCCCTAGTGATCAGTTCCACTGGTTCACCTTGTCTGATTTCAAGTGCATTCTGTAACTTTTTTATTTGATTAATAAATGAAAGGGTGAATATAACAGCATTGCCGGGGGGGAGGGGGGAAACCCCAGTGAGGTGGTGGCATTGCTGTCACTGTTATTTGAATTACTGAGAGGTTTTGATATTACTCACTATTGCACATCTTTCTGTCTCTTGTGATTTTAGAATACCGTGCCTGTCACACTCCCCCAGAGTAAGCTGAAGAGTAATGATGTTCCCATGAGAAGTGGAGGCATAGTGCAGCCGTCCATGGGGCAAAGTAAAGTTGCACCAAGCTCTTACCCTGCTGCAGGCTCTGCTGCCCCTTTCATTTTGCCAAAGAAAGATGGATGTGATACTTCTTCAGAGGCCCACCAGAAAAGCCCTTCAGTTGAACGCCAAGAAACAGATCATTTGGATGAAGATCTTGATCTACTTCTGAAGTTAGATGCCCCTGCTAATCCTGAAAACAATTTTGCATTATCCCTTGACACATTATCAGATGATTGGAGAACCCCACATGAAGAAAAAGGTAGACGTAGCTTGCCCTTCCCCCTGATTTATTTATTTATTAGTAGTGGTGCTCTAGTTTATGGTCAAAACATGCCTGATACTTTGGTGTCTTGCAGTAGAAACAAAGTGATCCCCTATAGCCCATCTTATTTTGCATATTGATGTAGAGCGTTCTTCTATTTCAAACTGGTTCAGAGTAACTTGACAGAAAAGTTTTTTTTCTAAAGCTGCTCTTTTAAAATGTTTTCACTTCAAAGTTACTTTATTCATTCATTCAGTCTGTACATAACATGTGCCTAATAGAGTGACCACTCAAATAAGGCAATAAAAGCTTTAGGGTTAGGTCTTGAGGGGAGGGTCCACAGTATGTACCAAAACCCTGTAGTTGCATTGTGCAGTTTAGCTTGTCTTGAGAGGCCCAGGTGGTACATTTCCCGGCCAAGGCTGTGCCTGCATCACACGCTCACCACCATTTCACTCTGGCCCATTGCTGAGCCACAGATTAATTGTTCTCATTGTCAGCATGCACTCTTTTTGCCCTGATTCCTCCTGGAATTGCATACTCGGAAATCTCTCCCCTCCAAATTACTTAATTGCAGATGATTTTTCTCTGTTCACATATATCCACCTGAACAATTTGATAAATGTGAAAGAAAAAGTGGTGCAGGAGGGGAAAAGTGGCTCCTATAATCATGGGAGAGTGGATGGATTATGAAGTAATCAAGCTTTAAGTTCCACTAGTAAATCAAATTAGCTGTTTAAGATATATTAGAATGAATGAATGGTGGCCAGGAAAACTACTTTGCTGTGTAGAAATTATTTATACCTATGATGGTGTAGATAGTATTGTGGGAGAAATCCAGGGCAAAGATGTAGACTGTGCCATTTATGCAGATACCTGTCAGAAGGTGTTCAAGCAATATACCTCATAAATGAGTGAACTTCCAAGCATACATCATGTGGGTCATTGTCTCTGGTGTATGCTCATCTAAATGTCAAGCTCTCGAAATTTCAAAGAAGTTGCTCTGCACAGGTGCAGATGCCAGTGCCCTGTGGTGAGTGTCCAGTTGACCAGTCAGATAACATGATTATTGTTAAGCAAGCTCTCCTTAGTTGGTAGTAAATTAGACAGCAAGAATTCAAAACTTGAGACTACTAGCAAATAACAAGAATTCATTTTAAATATGAATGAATTGGGTGGCTTGTATTTATGAAGACGTTAGTAGTCTTGTCTCAGCTGACAAAGCCTATATCGGTCACTCTCTTGATAGCAAAGAAACAAGTCAGTGAGATGGGTAGCCAATCTGACAAGAGATTTAACAACTAAAGTTTCTAGAATGAAGCAAGGAAAATCTTCGAGGCAATTAGAAGTAGAATTTTTCCTTTCTTATATAAAAAATATGAGCATGTTTCAAAATTCCCTGAAATCTTCTTTTGGAAGAGATTAACTAAATTGGTTTGGGATGATGGGAACTGTTGCTGCAGTGAAAGAGCTGAAGTGAAGGAGCCTTCTGGCCAGGTAGCTGTTGGATGTTGCCAGAGAAGGCAATTGAGCAGAATCCAGGCTGCTGTGTGCAACTGAGTGGCAGTCAAAGACATTTTGTTGATGATTAGACTGCTGGTTGTGTGCCTACCCACTCCAACTCAGTTCTAATTTCATAAAATGAGGAAAAAAGAAATCTTGCAAAATAAGAACACTGTATAGTGGATTTAAAGGCAGTGACATCAAAATTTTAGTGTAACTTCCAACATACAGTCTGCAAGATTATTTATGCTGAGCATAGCTAACAGCTGTGACATCTACTATAAGGAAACAATGCTGACTTGTGGAAGCTAAAATTTAGGGATGAATTTACTGATTTCCCACTCATCTCAAAGTACCAGATCAAATCTATCACAAAAATATTTTCCCCTTATGTGTGGAAATAAATCAAGAGATTTTGTGATCTTCTGCATAGTATAAACTGGGAAATTAACTTAAATCTCTGGTTCTTTGTGATGAGAACCAGATAGATCTGAGACCTCTGTAGAGAAACAAGAAGTTATAGAGACTTGAGCAGCACACTGAGGTGGTACCTTGAAACTTTTAAGTGGAGTTTACATTTTCAAGTATTCCTGATAGGGAAGGAAGCGTGATATGAGGGTGTGATTGCCCTCTTTAGAGCTGTGCATTAATTGCCTGACACATAATAATAATATGCGTTTGAACTGGGATCATTTGCTGCTTTGGCTTGGGGCAGAGCTGCTAGTATTACTAATAAGCCTGTGCTTCCTTGTTGGCACTCATTGAGACACTTCTAAGGGCTAAATAAGGAGTGGATGGTGGATCATTCCCTACAATTTTAGAAGATAAGCCTGCACCCTGGTAACAAATCATCAGTGACCTGCAGGAGCGACTACTTGTTTTGTAGTCTGCTCTAGCATGAAGGGCTAGCAGTCAAAAGGACAGCCGAGTTGAGCATCTAGAAAGAAAAAATTAACTTCAGACATCCCTTGAATCTTTCTGTAGCTTTTGCCACTGCTTGGATGGCGGAACCAGAAGAGTGTGTCACCCCCAATCCAATATCCCTTTGTAGAGTTGTTGTTCTATGTATATTTTAAGTGTAAGTTGCTCTGAGCGATGATCTACCTAAAAAAAACCCCAAGGTATCAGTATAATAAGAGATCAGAAAGTAGCGATAACTCCAGTAATGTGCTGAGAAAGATGACAACTGTGGGTGTGCATGAATAGGCAGAGTACTCCCTGGATACATGCTACATTCAGTGTTCATAAGGGAACATACGTGCATGTATACAAACACAGAGGGAGGCTTTGATTTTGCTCCACAACCAGTGACCATATCTAAATTGTGGAGAGGGTGCTTCAGGATTACTGATAGAAAGGGAAGCTGAAGCATCATTCCTTAGCAAGTTGGAGTGAGATAAAGGGAGGGAAGAATAGTCTAATTTCACACACACACCTTTTGTTTAATGTCCTGGTTTTTGTTTTGTTTTGGATTTTCCCCAGACCATTTACAACTGGACGGAATGCAAGATCTCTGCTCAACAACTCAGGAAGTTACCTCTAAAAATATTACAGAGGAAGAACTTGAAGACTGGTTAGACAGCATGATTTCCTAAGGCCCTCATTTTGGTACTTGTTCAAGTAACTAGCCAGGTATAAAATACCTGTTTGCAAGCATTTAATTAAATAGCTGCTTCATCTTTGATTTTTAATTATGTCACCTGTCTAACTTTATTTGTATTGACAAGATGAAACAATAAATCTGGACACATTCCAGGAGAGACAAGTATTATCCACAGAGAATGCTGTACATCAGGATGTATAATGAAGTATAATTACATTCTCTTCAGATTCTTGCAGAAAAAAAGTTTTAAAGTTTTAAAGTGACTTGGGTTGCATACTGATATAGACTACAGTATATTAGAACAATGTTGGCTTTCATTGAGCATTTATTTTTGAGAACTGCAAAATAAAATAGTGTTGGCAGATATTGCTATGTGTTTCTTATATAATTTGTGATGTGCTTGGTCCATAACACAATACAATGTGACAACATTAAGATTTCTTTTGTAAATGCTTTATTGCAGTGGGCACTTTTATTTCAATGAAAAACACATAAAGAAAGAAAAGCAACTTTACCACTAGCTGATCAGAAAGCATTATTTCTATTTGGCCCAAAATATACTTTCATAAGATTGTGAGACATTGTGGGGGCATTTTGTTTTGAACCAGATGAATCTAATAGCTGTTTTGAAGCAGACATGAAACTAACTTTCAAGTATTTCATACAATAAGACAAAAAAGCAACACAACATTTAACCAAAAATGTCAGTCTAAAAGGTCAGTATTTCTTTTTTCTTTTTTTTAAAGAACCTCTTGCATAGCTATGTCAGGAAAATTTAAGGCACTTAACTAGGATTTTTAAGGATGATAAAGTATTGAAAGTTTTTAAGCACAGAAGAATTACAAACATTCTGCCTGTGTCATTTTACTAATAAATGGCATGGGGGAAAACAAGGCTTGATGAAATATTGTTTAATTACACCATAAGGAGTTCAGTAATTGAGGCATTGTCATCTGACATTCAAGTTCTTAAGTTGCAGATGTTGTGCATATAACAAGATATCAGCCCTTTCAGCTACACTAGTTCCTATTTTGTAAAGGGTTATCTGAAATAATTTCTGAATTAGACTACTGACATCCAGACAATGTAAGGCCTGTTTTAGCCAGGTGCAAGAATCCCAGCTAGATCCCCATAAGATTAAGCAAACCAATTTGTTGTATGTGTTACTGTCTACAGTATGCCATTAAATGGTAAGAACTTGATTTATACGGACTGAGTGCAGTAGCTTCCTTGCTGGCAGGGTTAGCCAAGTTGATCTTCATACTGTTTACGGAAGCAGTCTCCAGCTGGGAAGAAATCCCAGCATCTTTCTTGGTACATTTTCCATACGTATGATTCCTGAAAACACGAGGAGCATATATTTTACAAATGATTCATTAGATGATAAACAAGGAAGAGAAGTCGTATCGTTCTTGCAACTAAAAAAAAATCACAAACATAAGCTAGCTTCTGACCTCATATGGGTCTTCATCACACTGGACAACACACAGCTGTGCATGGTACAAAAAGCAACACATAAAACTTCCAAAAATCATGACCAGATGTGCATGCCAGGTTCCTTTTTAAAAGTGCATTTCAAAATAGGGGCTGCAGATTAAAAACCAGGGGTATACGTTTCAGATTCTACCTCTGGTGATGTCACTTGAAATGTCTCTCCCAATCTTATTAAACAAAGGTTTGGGAATGGCAGTATTTTCTTCTGCATTATCCATTGTACTGTCGTTCTCAACCTGATGAAGTCTTGTATGGGGCTGGAAGCTAGGTCATGTTTGTGATTTTGTTAGCAGTTTCATAGAAATATCACCCACCCTTGACTTCACAGAGAATAAATAACATCTAATTGACTGATGGTGTATCCTAAAGCCAGCACAAATTTTGCTATGTCCAATTTATTATATATTTTAGAGTTTGGCCAAAAAACTGCTATTCCTGTGGAGAGCATATTTGCTGCAGCTTTTCACTGGCAATTAATGAATTCCTGCTTGGATTTTCCATGCACCTAAAAGTCCAAGGGAGGGACTTGCCAAGGATGGCATTGCAAGTTATGCCATTTGCCTCATCAAAGGATATTGGCCTATATATGTACTTGTGTTGGTTTAGTTACATGTTACTGAAAATAGCTATTATAAACAGTCAAGATAATTCTCGAATAGCTTCCATGTCATGAACAATATAAAAGCACTTTGCATATACAGCTTATTACAGTGGTGCCTCGTTTGACGAGGATAATTCATTCCGTTGAAATCACTGTTAAGCGAAATCCTCGTCAAACGAAATGAAAAAGCCCATTGAAATGCATTGAAAACCAGTTCAATGCGTTCCAGTGGGCTAAATACCTCAGGGTACAGCGAAGATCCTCCATAGGGTGGCCATTTTCGGTGCCTGTAAAGCGAGGAATCTGTCCTAAAACACAGTGGGGAGCCATTTTGCACAACGGGCGGCCATTTTAGAGCCGCCGATCAGCTGTTTTAAAATTGTCGTATAACAAAAAATCGGTTACCGAAGCAGGGAACCGATCATCGTTAAGCGATTTTTCCCTATCAAACCATCGTTTTGTGGTCGCAAAAGCGATCGCAAAAACTTCATCGTCAAGTGGTTTTGTCATTTAACGAAGTAATTATTAAGCGAGGCATCACTCTATTTTGGTAGAATTTAAATGCCTGCACTTTTTTTTAATTTTCACTTGATAGCATAATTTGAACAAGGATTTTAAGAACAAATGGCTGGATCATAAACAATGTTGTCCTGCATAGAAGACAAAACTGCAAGAGTGGGTGATACCTTTTATTGGACCACTAACAAAATTAAACAAGTAGTAAGATTTAGTGGAGAAAATCCGCTTCCTTGGGCTAAGCACACCTCCTTCATGGATAGTGAAGAATAACTGTAAACAAAAGTAAAAATTGATGTCACGTGTCTGTGAGAGATCTTTTTGAGGTTGGGCCTCTTGCCTGGCTTCAATGAGGTTTGCCATTTTCACACGTCTGCTCTTGAGACCAAAAGCCAATTACCTTGTGATTGCCTCTCCCCTCCATGGTCTCACACTGCCAGCTTGAGCTTTGGGGGTGGGGAAAGACAACACAAAAACTTTGTAGTTTTAAGCTCATGTTGGAGGTTATAATTTAGTTCATACCAAATGTAAGTTTTCTGTGGCCCCATTTTGCTGTCATACTAACATACTAATATTAGGTGCAGTGATAATGTAATGCCTACCTGTCCAGTGTGCTCAGTTTCATCCTTATTAATAAGATACATCAGGAAGAACCTGAAACAAGAATTATAAACTGTATTTTACAGGCATTTTAAAGGTAGAGTCTTGTTTCAGATTCTTAAAAGAGCCACAACCAGTCCCATATAAGAAAAAACGTTGAAGTAGTTTTTCATTATTCATTGCTCATATTCAATTAATGTTTAAGTAAGAACTATTCAGAAAAACTATCTGGGCAGCAGTCTAGGAGGGGAATAAACGAGTTACAATCCAATCATTTTTTTTCTTTGATGTTTTCTCAGAGCAGCAGATTTTACTGTACTCCTGTTGCTCCTTTCTTTTCAGTTATTTGTGATACTGTATTTACGGTTATGAACATAACATTATGCATCATTGATCATTTGCTTCACCAACATCCAGTCAATTACAGCAGTAACAATATCACCCCATTTATCCTGTGTGGCATTTTACAAAGAGCAGGTTTGACAACCCTCAATCTCAAGCAAGTTTAGCAACAAGATTTGCCGTGCAGAAGCTGTCAGAAACAAAAACTGCCATGCAGAAAATACTACTCAGTCTGTTTTCGGATTCATCTAGGGATGTGCCATTCAGATTTTTTTGGACTCAACTACCACTATTCTCCAGGAATTCTCCAGGCAGAATTCTGGGGATTCTAGTTCACCGTTTCACAGCTGCAATTCACTCACCTGCAGAAAGAAGTAGCTCAAAGACTCCATGACCCAGCTCCAGACTTGCTCCCTGTTAAAAAAAAAGAAGCTGCTCCAGCGCTACCTGGGAATTGTAGTTTCACAACCCATTTGGCTCTATAGTGCCCTTTAACGGACATTGAGACTGCAGTTGCTAGGAAGTTCTAGAATTCCCAGGTAGCACCAGGGCAGTCTCCTCTTTTAACAAGAAGCTAAGCTGGAGATAGGCCTCTCCCCAGTTGAGTGAGATGTAGGTGTGACTGAAAGGTTGGGTCTGTGGGCTCGGACTCTCAGAATTCCACTTGAACATCTATCAGATCTCAAATGAACTGACAAATCTCGGAGGGGTGGGGATGGAGGATCCTGTGATGGAGTAATTCCAACATCTGTAATCTTACTGAAGCTGAGACAGAAAGAGTGATGTGATAACCTTTTCAGTATCTGCCCGTAGATTCCTTTTTTCTCCTGATCTCCTACTGTCTGTCATTCAAAATGGAGTGGTTTCAGGGTAAGGGAACAAGAGGGCTTAGTCCCCCCGCCCTTTAACGTGCTTTATTCTTTACACTTTTATGACAACATTGTCATTAGGGCACAGATGTCTGATGGTAGAGATGGACACCCACAAGTCAGCTCCTAAACTGCCTACTGAGAAACACTGAATGTTCCTAATGGTGTGTAATTCCAGACGCATACTTGGAATGAAGTCCTATAGAACTAGCACTCTACGCTCTTATAATAAAGCATATTAGTTATGGCTGAATAAATATAATAATTGTTATCCTTACTCCTGCTCTTCCTCCTCAGTAGGTTTTGGTTTTTAATGGGCTTGCATTCACATCCCTTGAAACTCTGGACTAACCAAGGAAGTGACTACCTGGTATTTGTGTCCTGTGTTGCTGTTACCGTACTTTCTACATTTATTCCATTAACTATATGAGTAGATCCATCTTTTGGCATGAGCATGTGGGGATTTTTGTTTGTCTGGAAGGGCTTTTGATTTTGTAACATTTCCAGCCCCATTGTTTTGTCTTGCTTTTGTCTTGTGATTGCCTGTATTGGTACTTTAGGACTGTTGTTGGGTGAAGCCAGCTGACATCACTGATGAGTCACAGCATGGGACATGGTGTAAGCTTTAACTCTATTCCTTTGCCTGATTTCTGTTTGCATTGCTAAGGAGTGCAATGGAAATGCAATGTGTGTGTGTGTATGCGTGTATTAAAGCTTTCTGATACTTTAGTGCTATAGTGCAAAACCTGAATAGCACTAATTCAAATGCTTATAATGTCCTATTAGTTTGGTGCTATTTCACTTGCTAACAATAAAAAAACTCTGATTTGAGTGCCAGTGAAAGGGGTAGGTAAAAGGGTAGTGTCAATGGCAAAGAAGGGTGGGGTCTTGTATGACGAATGGACACTTCAAACACACCTTCCCAGGATAGTTAAACATCTCTATGTGAACTGTGGCAGGAATTTAAATGTCAGGATGTGATGCAGAGAAATTCGCATCAGCCCAGGACAAACTTCCATGTGGTCATGTTCCAAATCCTACTACTTAAAAGTCCTTTATGAGATACCTTCATATAACTGTAAAAGAAATGTCATATACTCACAAGTAGTTCGCCAAGTTGTGCTCTTGTAAAGTATGCATTTCAAACCCATGGGGAGTTGTGTCAAAATAGTCGTTACCAATTCCACAAATAAAACATTTGGTCTAAAAATAAAATAGAAATTTAAATCAAATATATCCCACATGAGAATTAATCTTTGATTCCAGCCAACAATGGTCAATGCACCTTCTCTAATCAATAGTTAGCCATTGCTCATTTAGTCATTTACTAAAAACAAAACAGTGTAGTTTTATTAATACCTCCATATCTTCTTTTACTTGCTCTTGCTGATCTCTTAATTCACCAAAGGCATCAATAATCAGACCTGTAATTTGAGTGGAAGAAAGGTGTAAAGAAAATCATGTTACAAAAACAAATTAAACCCACCAGAAGATTTGCACCATTTATATCCTTATATACTAGAAAAGCGCTGAGCCTCTTCTTTGTTTCTTGTTCATTCTACGCCATGACCATTTCCAAAGCTATTCTTAGGGATAGTATCAAATAATTTTTTTCAGCAATCCTTGCCTTCAGTGACAAACAACATGGTTTTATTCCTGCGTTGCAATATGGTACAGATAGAAATTAATACTTAAGTCAGTTGAACAGAAATTTGCCTTTAAAATATCTGAAATTCTGTACTGGGTAATGGTAGAAAATGACAGCCACTGTGGTGCAGTAGAAAAGAGTGTTGGTCTAGAATTTGAGAAAGTAGATTCAAATCCCTGCATGGTCATGGAAAGTCATGGTTTGTTTGTGAGCAATGGTAAACCACTCCTTGAACATATGACATACAGTATATCGCAGAAGTGAGTACATCCACTCACATTTCATAAATATTTTAGTATATCTTTTCATGTGACAACGCTGAAGAAATGACACTTGGCTACAATATAAAGCAGTGAGTATACAGCTTGTATAACAGTGTAAATGTGCTGTCCTCTCAAAATAATGCAACACACAGCCATTAATGTCTAAACAATGTCCAAATTGGGCACAAAGTGTCAATATTTTGTGTGGCCACCATTATTTTCCAGCACGGCCTGAAACCCTCTTGGGCATAGAGTTCACCAGACCTTCACAGGTTCCCACTGGAGTCCTCTTCTAAGTAGCTGTTTTCCTTCCCTGGTATCATGAGACCCGTTAGTGTCACAAGTCTCAGGTGTGAAGGGGGGGAGCAGGTGTTACCGCTCTCACTCTCAAACTGGTCACTGGAAGTTCCATAATGCTCAGTTTTGCACTTCCCTGTTTGTACACTTACATACTTTCTTTTGATATTTTCCTCTCTGCTAGATGTTATCATGGCCAAAATAGATACAGCAGCACTTAACAATTTTGTTGTGTTTTTCTGTTGCTAATCTTATTCCTTCCATGCATTCAAAACCTCCGTACTATTTAAGATACATATAGCATAGCAGAAAAAGGTTAGGAAAATAAGGATATTTTAACTGTTAACATACCTTGAATTATTGCCAGTAGGATGACAATGACAAAGAAAAAAAAGGTGATGTCAAAAACAATTCGGTACATTTCATATGGATCTCCTGCAGGGTCTTCAATTTCATCTCCAATGCCACCACCTGCTCTTACACCCACATACATATGGAACAGGTAACACTAGAAAGAAAAATGTACTAGATTTCATAAAAGAGAATTCATCCACTTTGAATACGAGGGTTGAGAAATAGATTTTCTATGCTGCTATTAAAATTAATATCACATTATATAAGCTGGAACTACAGGAGTACAGGAGAGAGTGGCCAACATGATAAAGGGTCCAAAACCTAAGCCCTATAATGAACAATTGAGGCACCCAGTATGTCTAGCCTGGACAGTTGAATACTGAGAATTGATATGATACCTGTCTTCAAATGTTTGAAGGACTGTCATGTGAAATATGAAGGAAGCTTGTTTTCAGTTACTTTGGAGTGTAGAGACTGAACAAATTAATTTAAATTACATAAAGGAAATTATGACTTAGCATGAACAACTTATTGGCAGTAAAAGCTGGTTAGCAGTGGAATGGGCTACTTTGGAAGTGGGTGGATTCCCCTTTACTGGGATTTTTAAAACACAAATTAGATGGTCATTGGTCAGATATGCTTTTGGTGTTGATTTTCTGCATTGATGGGTGGTTAGAATCAGTTACCCTTGGAGTCATCCATCTCTTTGATTCTACAGAAGAGAAATAATTCCATGACATCATGTAATTCAGAAATAGGGAAACTTTGCTCCATGGGTCAGATGATATCAGGGCTATGGCTACACACCCAATATCATCTGGTCCCAGGGGTTCTTCAGCTGCTGCTTTTTTGGTACAGTATCCCAGTTTCACTCTCTATGAACTTTATGCAAACCAAGAAACTTCTTGCTGAAAAAAGCCAAATCCTGAATAAGGCACAGGCTAGATAGACATTGGCGCTATGCATTACATCTCCAAAGTTAGTTCTGGACTTCCTGTCATAAAGAATTACATGTGAGAACTGCTTCATTTTTCAATTGTTTTGTCTCTAGATTTCATAATAAATCCATAAACCCAACTGCAAGAATAATGCTTTAACATGTATTACTCAACATCAACATTATAGGCTTTTACTGTATAGTATACCATATATATGCACCTTAAAATAGTCTATAAGGGAGCAAAATCCAAATTGGTTGTTGTGGGTTTTTCCTTCGCGAATACAAAATCCAAATTGATTTCTGTGTCAACTACTGAAATGCCAAGTTTCAAAATTAGGCAAACATGGCTCAGTTATTTATGCCTCGGCTACATCTGGACTAAGATTACAATATGGACTCTTATGTTAGGCTGCCACACAAAACTGTCAGAGGTTTCAGCTGCTGAAACTGCTGCACACAGATGTTGAAAGGACTTAAACATCTATTTTTTATTCTAGTTCAAAAAGTGAGGGATACTTTTTCTTGGAGAAGCCGTTCCACAGAGAAGTACTATCCTAAAGTTCTGTTGAGCCTGTCAGGAAACAGAAGAGTGCTAAACAAATACAGTGAATTCAGATATTACCAAATGTGATCTATGTAAAGCTGTAAAAAAATTAACTTAGTAAAAGTGGCCCTCAAAGTGATTTAAGTTGCATACCTCTGTGCTAGGAGAATACCAAGAAAAAAATTAAACAATAATACTAACATACTAAGTGTCATTACTGTCTGGATGCTCATCTGTTGTTTCAGAATAGGATCATTATTTATGTATATGCATTGGTTACAAATGAATATTTGTAATCATCCTCTTCATGTATTGTCAAATGTGTATCTGTAGCATGAGCATTCAGTAGCTGCTAGATAACAGAATTCCATTTGTGTTTTCAGTGTCATCTTTCATTTAAACATTAATCCTACAACTTACAGTCATCATGTCATCACACTTCATATCTGGCTCATCTTCATCTTCACTCTTGTTGTAAAATTTGCGAAAGAAGTTAAATGCCACAACTGTGTAAAGGTATACCACTACAGCCAATAGGCCAACAGTCAAAACGAGCTATATGTATGCAGTAGAAAATACAATAGAGAAAAAAAGGGGGAAAACAATTAGGGACTTGAAATATTTCACATCACACATACAACTGAATTATAATCTCTAGGCAACCATATATGGGAAATCACTTTTTTTCCTCCTAAACTAGTGAGAATGTGATATTTTAATTGCTATGTCAGTCATTATGGAAGAAATAAAATTTGGGGCTGTAGACTATACTAGCTAAATAAAGTTCATCCACTTTTTCCTACATGTTTTAAATTGTCCCATGTGGTATGTATAGTTTTGGCAAGTTATTCATGTAGAGTGATTTACTTCCAGGACCTTTTCTCTGCACACCAGCATAGCAGTATCCATCCCAAAGAAATTAAGCTCTGCTATTATTTGATCTGAAAAGTTCATAAATAGTCCATCTCTCCTTCACCTGCCTCAAGATCTACAAAAGTTAATACTGTACTGGGGCATTTCCAAGATCATATAAACATTGTATATGATGCTTCAGCTCCAGACAGTGCCCTTCAATGAAAAACAAACCACATGTCTTGGGAGGAATGTGATAAATGTTGGATAAATTTTTATTTTCAACGATCAAGGCTGTATCAGCATGATCAGACTCCCCAGTGAGAAATTCCCAGGCTTCATGAGACTCTGTCATGAGAGGAGTGAGGAGCATTTTTCTATGAAAGTTTCTGCAGTTTGAGCAATTTGGTAAAAACTAGTGATCTTGCCCTTTAAGAAGCACAGAACACTGAGAACAGAGAGAATATAAGCACAAAAGGACTCTGATTGCTCCTGACTTCCAAAAGTCCATGTAACATGGAAGCACTGGGTATCACTGGGAGGGCACTTTTAGAATCTAAAGGGATTCTCCCCTTTCCCACTAAACTATTGGAAATGTTTTCTTCCCACCTCTGGCTTGCCTCATCCTGTTTGTTTGCTTTGCTTCCTTTGTTTTAGTTTAGTCTGCCTCCTTCCCTAACCTCTGAACGTTTAGGGGTCTCTTCCACATGTGTAGATTCAGTTTTTCCTATTTTTCTACTTATTGTAGGTATAGACAGCAGCTGTAAATAAAGATACCTTTTCCCCTACTTAAAATGATTCCAGAGAGATTTTTAACAAGTCACTGTGAAAAGGGGTGGGCTAATGAGACTTAAGCTATTCTCTCACACTTTCTCTGTGCAGTTGTTGTTTGTACCTGATACTTTGCTAAATATATAAAAAAACCCCTAAATTCTCCAATATGTAGTTCTAGCCATGCTAGAGTGAGGCTACTGATCTGTTAAGTGTGGGAGTCGCTGGCAGGTTCTAAAACTACTACTACAGGGATAGTCATGGAAAGAACAACAGCTGTTGGGGTTACAGCCTTTCTGATGAAGACTGCAATTCCAATAGCTATAAATTGCAAGTGAAATGTATTTATTATTTATTTAAAATATTTTTATCCCACCTTTCTCCTTAAAAAGGACCCAAGGTGACTTACATCCTTGATGTAGACCAAGCAACATTTCCAGAATAGACAGGGGACTGGCAATGGACCTCCACTGGTTACAGGTTGTACAAACAGACCTCCATGACTTGATAATGGAATATTGGCTTCAAAGTCGGAGAACATGTGAAGTATATATGCATTAAAGGTGAGGAGAAGAGGTACCCTAAGATAGCACATGAATGAATGTGGCAGAAGTCACTGTGGCAACCATAGTTAGGAAACCCTCAGGAGTTCTGAAAACTTCTGCTGTGGGAGGATATCGAGGTTTTGTGGAGCTAGTTACATTGCCAGGGAAAAGCACAGTCTCTATCATTCTGAACAGGAACCTTGTGGTACAGCAGTTACATTACTGCAGTGAACACTCTGCTTACAACCTGATTTCAATCCTGGGCTCAGGTATCCAGCTCAACACTTCACTTTGCTTTGAGCAGAACAAGCAGTCCTACTCTTAATCACCTCGTTGCACTTGTGCCTGTATTGTACAGACAACTCTTCTGTGCTATACAGTTCCCTGTCAATGCTGTGCCTGTCATCCCAGGCACAAGCATGATGGGGATTATGTTCAAAGAGTATTTGCTATTATTACCGTGAATCCAGAAATAGCTGTGTGCTCATAGGAGCCATTCATAACAACGACAGTTGTCATGGTTGCAAACACAGCTCATGGAGTAGATGAGAAGTGCATGCTCTGGGAGGAAGTATTCTCTCCATATGATCTTGAATCAAGGAATTGTTCTGAATCTCATTATTACATCCAAAATCTCCACATGGATGAGCATTTACAGTTTGATGGCTTGGAAGAGAAATAGGAATCAAATGTGTTTTGGCCCTAATTGACTAGGGTGAGGTCTATGGTGCTTGTGCCAGTAGTGTGGCACAGAGAACTTCCTAAGCAGCAGTTGTCTCAGAAGCATAAGACTCAGGCAGAGATGAAAAAGGAGCAGAAGGTGGAAGTGTCATGTCTAGTTGTACTTCCTCTTCCTCCTCCAGTTCTTCTTGGCTTTAAAAGAAGTAAAAAAAATGTTCTGTTTTCAGTCCAAGGCTCAGGCTAAGGCGGGTACTGATTGTGACTACATTTGTGACACTCATGGCTGTTAATTTGCCTGTTGAGCCAGGCCTGAGAAAAAAAATGTCTTATTCATAGAAAGACTTGCTGATGATTCTGATGGAACAGACTGTATAGCAAGCATTTCTGAAAAAGCCACTGTGGTATTTAAATTCACTTACAGAAAAGGAAGGTGGATGGGATTCAGAAAAAGAACAGGAGAACCTTGCAGAGAAGAACTTACATGCAGTGACAAAATGTATGCTGCTAGAAAGTTGGCCTCCAGTATGTCACACAACTGTGCATCTGTGCATGAAGATGGGCAAACAGGGATGCTGCATTAGAGTGAAGCAGACTTGTCCACTCTGCTAGTGCAGAGCATCATCCCAAGCACAGAGATCATTGTGTTTGAGATGCCATAAAATGTAATGCATCCATGCTGCAGTTGTCTGATTCTTGGAGTTTCTGCAAGCACAGAGGGAAGAGAAGACCCCCCAATCTTATATCATGAAAATACACAGCAAAGTTTCTGGAGGTATCCTGCACTTTCAGAAATGATGGATAGGGTTCAAGTTTTTCTCCAATATGCTACTTTTGATTTATATACAATTTGCATGTTTTAACATATGGAACTATTTAAATCTTCCTGCTTGCAGTCTGAAATGATGCAATCTGTTGACATATCATAAGAGGTTATGCTTCATGTGACTGAGGAATGGATTTGTGGCATGATTAAAAACTTCATGGGATACATGAGTAGGAAACTGGCTCTCTAAAAAGTTCATGGACTTCAACTCTCCAAACCTCTCACTATTAACTACACTGGCTAGGGCTGATAGGAATTGCAGTCGAGCAGTATCTGGTGGGCCACAGCTCCTCATTTCTGATTTACAGCATTCTTCATTCTTAACTATTACATACTTCAAAATTATAGCACAGCACCTCTTCAGCAAGTTCTTAATATATTTGAAGAAACTGTTACTGTTGTCAGTTGTTCCTTAAATAAGCAGTATTCTATACTGATTAAGAATAGCATCATTTTAAGGACAGGAATCCATTTCAAATACATGTCGTGTATTACCTATAACTCACCTGTTTTCCATTGTGGGTTACAGAAGACAGGATGGTACGTAAAGTCTTAAAACCCATAGCAATATCAAGCAAGTGAGCAGCAAAGAAGAAGTTGTTGTAGTGACCAAGGATAGACATGGTTGTGTACCAAGCTAAATACAAAAAGGACTAAAGAAAATGGTAAATGTTGGAGAACCATTATTAGTATTACATTGAAAATATTTCACTTCAATTATTATCAACTTTTATTTATGAAATGTGGTTTTACCATAGTATGTATAGTATATATAGCAGGGGCTATTAATCTCCCAAAGCAGATTGACTCTGAGCATTTATTTTATTTTATTTTGCTAGTTTGCCACTGAATTGTATGACTGCTGGTTTAGATCCAGAGATGCATAACTTAAGAAGTTATGGCAGTATTGTGCAAGAGATAGCAGACAACATTACGTGATGTTATGCAAGAGATTATGTATCACCTCATGCATATCTTAAAGATGTGGTTGACAGTATCATGTCGTGTACCAAAAAAAAAAAAAATCTTCACCTGAATTTCAGGTCTCTCCTCTCAAAAAATGAATTTTGTAGTAATTCAGGAAAAAAAATCTTTTTACCTAACTATATGTCATTTCAATGTATTTTCGAAGGCTTTCACAACTGGGATCCAACGGTTGTTGTGGGTTTTCCGGGCTATTTGGCTGCATTCTTAAGGTTTTTCTACCTACCTACCTACCAGTCTCTGTGGCCAGCATCTTCAGAGGACAGGAGTCAGAACTCTGTCTGTGCTCTAGTACATTTTGTTTGATAGTTGAGTATATATAGCTGTGGGATCTAGTTTTTGTCCTTTTCAGGAGATTGGGTGATTATGGTAATCAATGTGTTTTTTTGTTGTGGGTGTATTGTTGTGATAAGGGAGAGAGATGATCTGTCACTGTGATTGTGACAGTGTCGTTTCATTTCAGAAAAAACCCTGCAGCTGATGATGTCATTAGTCTTACGCAGTGCAAGCTGTAATATTGGAGTGCTAATATTATGTATTGCATGAAAGAGATGTTTTGTTGCACATGTAAGTGTTCTCCAAGTGAGTTGTTTGATGACAGCCATTATATTTTACATACACAGTCAAAATATGTACATTGCACCTGTGGTAGCGCAAAGAAAAAGCCTTGGGGTCATGTGTGTCCAAGTCAATTAAAAGCATATATAATCTAAAATTTGCAGTGACTGCTTGCACATATTACTATGAATAAGAGATACACAGAACTTGTGAGTAGGCTAACGTTTAGGCATTTAGGCATGTGACCCAAATTGCATTAAAAGTTATATACATTGTAACAGAAATACATGAAAGCAGGACTTCTTCCTCATTTAGTTATGACCATACATCTCAGAGGACCTCTCATGAACTATAAATGCCAACATGCTAATGAAGAAGGCACAGAAGAGGCTGTATTTCCTGAGAATGCTCGGGAAGTTAAAGTTATCTCAGCATTTACTTCTGTCCTACTATCATAGCACCATTGAGAGTGTCCTAACCTATGGCATTCTGGCATGGTTTGGGAGTAGCTCTGTAGTGAACAAAAAAGCTCTACAGAGAACCATTAAAATTGCCCAGAATATCACTGGGCTCCAGCTACCAACCCTGGATGACATCTTCACATCCCGGTGTCTAAGGAAGCCACACAACATCCTGAAAAACTCTTCCCATCCTGCTTACAACTTTTTTGAACTGCTGCTGTCTGGCAGAAGATATAAAACAAGACTCGGACCACACGTTTTCTGAATAGTTTTTATCCCAGAGCTTTAATTGCGCTTAATAATGAGCTTAAAGACCACCGGTACTGAATAGTTAGTTGGACAGTGTTACTTAACCTGCGGTGTAGATGTTTGTACTTCTTAGTGGGGGATTTTAAGTGGGTGGGAAGTGTTTGGGGAATTTTTATGTGTGTGCATCTGGGTCTGGTCTCTGGGTGCCTGTGTGAATTTCATTGTATGGGTATACCATGTATATACTTACAATGACAATAAATTATTTGAATTGAATTGACCAGTGTAAACCAGGTATAAGGATAATAAATCAGAAACAAATCTGATTGCAAGAACTACATACTTACATTATCAGTGAAAACTACACCAAGCTTCCAGATACGGTACTTGGCATCAATAGAACTTAACCTAAGAAAAGTAGAAAATTCGCATTAATCACTGTAATCATTAATTATTTGATTATAGCATAAGAATCTTTCCTTGCATCTACTATTTTTGTTAGTGTTTTCTCCATCATAGGATGTATCACCAAAATTTTGAAGAAATAAGGACAATAAATGTAACTTCTCTGAGAATGAACATTAAATGAATATGAATGTTATATGTTTAAAATAATGTTATATACTAGCCGCCTTGGGTTCTTTTTAAGTGGAAAGGTGGGATAAAAATATTTACAATAAATATTAAAAGCAATCTTAGTTCTTTGGTGTCAAATTCTTATGTAGCCAAAAGTACTCTATGAGCACAGAGAGTAAGGCTTGAAGAAATTTGCAAGATTTATAAAAGTATGACAAATTGTTAAGAAACAGCCTGTAGTAGCAGCCCCTATCTCAAACAACCTAATGAGGATGGAGCATGTTCAATGGATAAGGAATGCTAATGGCTGGAAGGGAAAAAATGAAAACTGAAGGAGGTGAAATGAAATAGTTTATTGAAAGAAAATGTGGCTGATTAGATGACATACTGAAAATATGCTCCCCACCTAGCATTTTTTTCCATATCTCACATGTAACATGTTAGATGAAGAATTCAGATTTCCTATATCCATATACATATTATGACTTAAGAGATCACACTCTGTTTAACAGTAAGATCATGGCATGTTAGTATTCAATGCTACTGAAAATCTTTCAGCTCCAATAGATGCATTAAAAATAGCTCACACATGATATATTTGTAAAAATGTTCCAGAAAGTCAGAGTAGCCCCTTGCATTCCTTCCCATGTGGCATCACAGGTATACCTGATGAATTTTCCCCTAGTATTTTCAGGGCAGCTAAGAATATTAAACATAATGCCTAGGGATTACATGTGAATGACTTACATAACATAATGTCAGAGTCAAAGTAATAATTTAGGTGGGTATCTCCCCGGTTCCCTAGATGTCTATAACTGATGTGCACCTAGTTACGAACCTCATGCTGCCAGTCAAATGTACACTGAGCAGACTAAATTAGATGAAGTCCTATACCTTAAAAATTTTACTGCCCAACACTATGAGTTGCTTGGAAATATTTAGAAGACAGTACAATAGGTGATTTGGTGGCACATAATGACAACTGCAACAATAATGTTGTACTAATGCAACATTATTGACTGGTGACCTTGAATTGACATAGAACATTTTGATATAACAGTAATTTTAACCACTACTGTGCCATCTGAAATATAGTACTTATGTCCACAAGTGGTAATAACTCTGGAAACAACATTATTGGTACAGTACAGTACTTGGGTCCCGTTCTGTTAGATACTAATGTGTGCTAATAATGGTTGCTGTGTCAATGTAAGTTGCCACACTGTCACAACCTCATATATATCCAGGACAGCGTTGTTAAGCCTTTGTCTATTACAAATATAAAAGTCACTATTCCAGGAAGATTTCCAGTAACAGAGAAATCTAGGTGTAAGTATCTACATCTGATGAAAATTCTGTTTAGTTTTGTTAATCAAAATTTGGGCACCTTGTAATGCAACAAGTACCTTGTTAATGAATGGCAATTTGCTGCCAAGACTTATGCAATTTCACTTCCTCATATGTATGTCAGCAATAGAATTCTGGACATGTTTTAAGCAATCTTCCAATGCTGATTTATCTCTAAACTACTGTGGTTATACATTATTGAATTTGAACGGCAAACTGTACCATGAAACAAGAGATGCTTCCTCGACTTCAGTGTGCTCCACTGGGCTGAAATCCAGAGCATTTTTGTCCAAACCTAAGAGTTCTGCAATGCGTTCTGCTCCATATAAATCACCATACTTGTTGATTACCTTCAAGGTGAAAGAACATGAGGTATCATCAACTTTATTTCAACAAGTATTTGTCAGAGCTTTAAAGACCGTAGCATTCCAGAGTTGATATTTCTAGAATAATGACAGCTCAGACAAGAGAAGAAAGGCATTCAAAATTTAAAGAAGCATAAAAAGCCATTAACTCAAAGCACGCCTGCAATTTAAAGTAATTTAACATAGCACGTTTTCCCTCTTTCAAACTGATGTGCATCGAAGAGAAGAAAATGGCTGCTAATAAAACCTGTAAGCATGACAGACAACACCAACAAAAATGTCCTGCCTAGGAATGATGAAATCCAAGTGCTCTGCTTAGCTCTCCTTGTTCACAGCTCTCTTCCCAGTTTGATTTGCCACGATTTATTTATCAGGGGTACACTTCTCTCTTAGGTTTTAGTTTTAGAACTGAGAAAGAATGTTGCAATAAAAACAAAAAAAGATACCCCAAAACTGGCAAGAAAAGCAAGTCTAGTTGTCTTCATTTCTGCAAATCACTAAAAAGGCTAAAGAACGCTGAATTTTGGTGGAGTCTTATGAGGAAGAAAATGACCCCAAACTGCAAGCACAAATCTGTTCACTCTGTATACGTAGGCAGTAAGATAGGTGCTGCTTAATAACATGAATGCAAACAATCAAAACCAGAGCAGAATCCTAAGCATGAGGCCTCCTTCATGATAGCCTTCAGCATTCTACTACCCTCCCCACAAGCATAGGCATATACTACCAAATTGTTTCTGAGGAATTAGATTGCAGTCCACTAAAGCTCACACTGACTAACATGACTACCTTTCTGGAAACTGCTCCAGTAGAAGACACTTGCGGTAACTAAGCTAAATGAAGTGAAAATCCAGCAGTTTCATGAAGGATCTGATAATGGACAGACATCATCTTTTTAAGCATGACAGTATTCCTATGGCAGTAAGGGTGAAATATACAGTACAGGCTGAGGAAGTAGATTGCAATCCACTAAAGCTCACACTGACTAACATGACTACCTTTCTGGAAACTGCTCCAGTAGAAGACACTTGCGGTAACTAAGCTAAATGAAGTGAAAATCCAGCAGTTTCATGAAGGATCTGATAATGGACAGACATCATCTTTTTAAGCATGACAGTATTCCTATGGCAGTAAGGGTGAAATATACAGTACAGGCTATATACTGCACAGACAATAGAGGGAAATCACACTCTCTTCCCAAAAAAACTAGTAAAACATGTGACCAACGTTCTGTATAACAACCAAGAAAAGATCAAGAAAGAATTGTCAAATATTAAATTACAGTAGTATGCATACAGAGTCAGCCCGGTATACAAAAACTCTTCAGGATAAGAAAAAAAGTAATAATAATTTTTCTGCTCTGAAAAGAAAGGAAGAACACAAACTATGTACTCTACTGAAAGCCTTAAGGGGCAAAAGAAAAAACATTATGAACTTAACAATATTGTAAATCTGTCCAGCTACATACTGAGCCAGGGAGAAGAGACTGTTCTTTCACAGGGCTTACTAGGCATAGGACTGAAGAATAAAGACTCCATCGGACATGATGAATCTTCATTAAGATGGAGGAAGTAGCTGGGTGAAGCTAAGCTCTGTGGGAGCTGCAAGGCATTGGGGTCTGGTAGTCTTGCTCATTATGCTCCATAGAATGGCCTCTGAGGAGAATGGCCTCTGCCAGACCTATAATATGTTCCAGCTCCTACAGAGCTTGGCCCTCCTAGCCACTTTATCATTACATGTTATTCCTCACATGTGAACAAATCAAAACAATTGAGATAACTTTGAATTTTTATTTTTATTTTTGCTAAACGGCCCAGAATTCTGACTGGGGAAATCCTGCAAGCATCTGGGGGGATGTATTTAAAAATATGAAAGTCCCATACTTGGGGCTACCTTTGTCCCACCACGCCTACACAAATGTTACAACTCGGTGATGATTTCTAAATCGTAACACCAAATTCTAACTTCTGTATTAACATTTTTAATGCTGACGATTCCACTCAATAAAATGCTTTGAAAATATCCAGTGCAACTGTTTTTAAATTATGCTTAGTTATTATATGACTGCCATTTGTCTTCCACCTATAAACCCACTTTGATCTTTATTGATTAGCAATAAACTATTCTCTTTGCCACTTTTGCAGTAAAAATCTTACCATCCTGGTTTATTAATCTGAAGATTCTTTATTACGTTTTATAATTAGTACAATCTAAGAATGCTTCCAGGATGGTGGAATTTCCTCTCCATCTAATATTTTAATAAACAGTATCTTAAGCTTTTGTATTAGGATCTTCTAAAATATTTGATAATACTACACCTAATCCATCCATCCCTGGAATTTCCCCAATTTTAAAATTATTTATGGCTTCTCTTCATCTTTAACATATTATTCCATCAGTTCTCTATGAAAGAATATGTATTAAAAGTAGAGAAGAACAAGAGGGAACAGGGAAGCTTTCCTGCATGTGTAGAGAGAGATCTGTTTGCTTTTACTGGTTGAAACATAAAGAGTACTCTCCTGCATCTCTTAGGAACAGTAGGATGTGAAATATATTATATCTTCCAGGTTGCCACCTGTGAAAATAATGATCACTTTGGTAAGATCAGTTTAAGGTCCCCTACATGGTCACAGGGAGGCAAAGAGGAGGAAACTGATCTCCTGGCCAAGATATCCTGTAATTCTGAAACAATGGCTTTCAGTATGCAAATCTTCAAAGAATAATTTTAAAGAATATCTTCTAACCTTCTTGCATTGTTTCTTATGTTACATGACCCTGCCATTCTTACCACCTCCATTGGATATCCACAAACCTGAAAATTAATGATTTCTAGTCTCCCATTAATAATTTAGTTTGAGAAAAACTTTTTAAAGTTTTCATTTGGAGCAAAGCTACCTCTGAACTCCAGCAGAAGATTAAGCATGCTCCCCCATAAACACAGTTATCTCTGACAAAATCTTTAGAAAGAAATATATAAATAAAGATCAAGCAAATTTCAACCAGAATCCTGTTGGCTGAAACTTCACATGCATACGTTATTGCTGAAATGGTGGTTTCCTGTGGCAAGTCGTCCACTGCACAACTGGCTTTACACTGGCTGTGAAACCTACCAAAGGGGAGTACTGCTTGCAAAGTTCAAGTGTTTTCTCCCAACAGGATTCTAACCTTCAAACCTCTGGTTTAATAAGCTTCTTCTTCATATTTAAAAATCCCACAGAACTCTGTACTTACTGCAACAAGGCTAATAGAAACCAACACCTAATTATTTGGAAATTTCTCCAGAGGTAGCTGCAAATCATTTAGGCTTAATACTCCACTCAATGTCAGAAGCTGATATTGCTTCATACGAAAATATCTGAAAGTGTTTCGCAACATAAATTATCAGGGAAGCCAGTCATTTTGTATGGATGTCTCATAGATGTGGTGGACCTGTTAACAGTCTTGTCACTGTGATCTTTACAGTCATGTGTGAAAGGGCAGGGGGCTTGCAGACAAGGAACTTCAGAAGACTACTTTTGAGGCATAACTTCTATCATATCTCACTGAAGAAGTGGTGTTGTTATTACCCTGTCTATCCACTAAACGATAGCACTCAAGGCAGTTTAAAAAGATTTAAAAAGAACAGAAACAGATAAAATCAACATTTATTCTAAAACCTTAATAATATCATATAAACCTGCCGCACTGTAAAGCCATGTTAAAAATCATTACAACTGCAAAGGACACAGATTCAAAACTACACAGCCGAGAAAGATAAACAGCAAATGGCAGACCTAAATATTTCTTATTACTTCTTTCTTAAATTCAGTCAGAGTGGAAACATATTGTCTCGCCTTTGAGATGTGAAGTGTGTGCACACATATGTGTCCTATGCAGAAGACACAGCAATGATAATTAACAAATTTAATGGGCAGAAACCTTGTCACTATTACTTTAAAATTTTACTTTTAAGACATGTGGTTGACAGGTACCATTTTATACCACATGGTTGAAGTTAAGCTTTGGGAAGTACAGCAACAACTCTAGGCAGATTGACAGCTTTCCCCTCATCTATGAATGGGTGAAGGGTGATAGTCATTGTGACAGCCTCCTCTCACGTCACAAAGGAGGTGTCACGTCACTCTTACATACACACTTTATACGCTGCCACCAACCACACACATATCTGACTCCTCAGACAATGGTATGGATTTTAAAATAAAAATGATTGTTTATTGATACAACATAAGTAATAGTAAATCACTGTATTAACTAAATAAGGCAATCAATATAATAAAGTATTCCCTCATACACTCTCTCTCTCTCAGACCTTCACTAACACAGTACCTCATAACATGCACATGCCCT